AGAGGATGAGATGGGATGAGAGAGCATGAGAGGATGAGATGGGATGAGAGAGCATGAGAGGATGAGATGGGATGAGAGAGCATGAGAGGATGAGATGGGATGAGAGAGCATGAGAGGATGAGATGGGATGAGAGAGCATGAGAGGATGAGATGGGATGAGAGAGCATGAGAGGATGAGATGGGATGAGAGAGCATGAGAGGATGAGATGGGATGAGAGAGCATGAGAGGATGAGATGGGATGAGAGAGCATGAGAGGATGAGATGGGATGAGAGAGCATGAGAGGATGAGATGGGATGAGAGAGCATGAGAGGATGAGATGGGATGAGAGAGCATGAGAGGATGAGATGGGATGAGAGAGCATGAGAGGATGAGATGGGATGAGAGAGCATGAGAGGATGAGATGGGATGAGAGAGCATGAGAGGATGAGATGGGATGAGAGAGCATGAGAGGATGAGATGGGATGAGAGAGCATGAGAGGATGAGATGGGATGAGAGAGCATGAGAGGATGAGATGGGATGAGAGAGCATGAGAGGATGAGATGGGATGAGAGAGCATGAGAGGATGAGATGGGATGAGAGAGCATGAGAGGATGAGATGGGATGAGAGAGCATGAGAGGATGAGATGGGATGAGAGAGCATGAGAGGATGAGATGGGATGAGAGAGCATGAGAGGATGAGATGGGATGAGAGAGCATGAGAGGATGAGATGGGATGAGAGAGCATGAGAGGATGAGATGGGATGAGAGAGCATGAGAGGATGAGATGGGATGAGAGAGCATGAGAGGATGAGATGGGATGAGAGAGCATGAGAGGATGAGATGGGATGAGAGAGCATGAGAGGATGAGATGGGATGAGAGAGCATGAGAGGATGAGATGGGATGAGAGAGCATGAGAGGATGAGATGGGATGAGAGAGCATGAGAGGATGAGATGGGATGAGAGAGCATGAGAGGATGAGATGGGATGAGAGAGCATGAGAGGATGAGATGGGATGAGAGAGCATGAGAGGATGAGATGGGATGAGAGAGCATGAGAGGATGAGATGGGATGAGAGAGCATGAGAGGATGAGATGGGATGAGAGAGCATGAGAGGATGAGATGGGATGAGAGAGCATGAGAGGATGAGATGGGATGAGAGAGCATGAGAGGATGAGATGGGATGAGAGAGCATGAGAGGATGAGATGGGATGAGAGAGCATGAGAGGATGAGATGGGATGAGAGAGCATGAGAGGATGAGATGGGATGAGAGAGCATGAGAGGATGAGATGGGATGAGAGAGCATGAGAGGATGAGATGGGATGAGAGAGCATGAGAGGATGAGATGGGATGAGAGAGCATGAGAGGATGAGATGGGATGAGAGAGCATGAGAGGATGAGATGGGATGAGAGAGCATGAGAGGATGAGATGGGATGAGAGAGCATGAGAGGATGAGATGGGATGAGAGAGCATGAGAGGATGAGATGGGATGAGAGAGCATGAGAGGATGAGATGGGATGAGAGAGCATGAGAGGATGAGATGGGATGAGAGAGCATGAGAGGATGAGATGGGATGAGAGAGCATGAGAGGATGAGATGGGATGAGAGAGCATGAGAGGATGAGATGGGATGAGAGAGCATGAGAGGATGAGATGGGATGAGAGAGCATGAGAGGATGAGATGGGATGAGAGAGCATGAGAGGATGAGATGGGATGAGAGAGCATGAGAGGATGAGATGGGATGAGAGAGCATGAGAGGATGAGATGGGATGAGAGAGCATGAGAGGATGAGATGGGATGAGAGAGCATGAGAGGATGAGATGGGATGAGAGAGCATGAGAGGATGAGATGGGATGAGAGAGCATGAGAGGATGAGATGGGATGAGAGAGCATGAGAGGATGAGATGGGATGAGAGAGCATGAGAGGATGAGATGGGATGAGAGAGCATGAGAGGATGAGATGGGATGAGAGAGCATGAGAGGATGAGATGGGATGAGAGAGCATGAGAGGATGAGATGGGATGAGAGAGCATGAGAGGATGAGATGGGATGAGAGAGCATGAGAGGATGAGATGGGATGAGAGAGCATGAGAGGATGAGATGGGATGAGAGAGCATGAGAGGATGAGATGGGATGAGAGAGCATGAGAGGATGAGATGGGATGAGAGAGCATGAGAGGATGAGATGGGATGAGAGAGCATGAGAGGATGAGATGGGATGAGAGAGCATGAGAGGATGAGATGGGATGAGAGAGCATGAGAGGATGAGATGGGATGAGAGAGCATGAGAGGATGAGATGGATGAGAGAGCATGAGAGGATGAGATGGGATGAGAGAGCATGAGAGGATGAGATGGGATGAGAGAGCATGAGAGGATGAGATGGGATGAGAGAGCATGAGAGGATGAGATGGGATGAGAGAGCATGAGAGGATGAGATGGGATGAGAGAGCATGAGAGGATGAGATGGGATGAGAGAGCATGAGAGGATGAGATGGATGAGAGAGCATGAGAGGATGAGATGGGATGAGAGAGCATGAGAGGATGAGATGGGATGAGAGAGCATGAGAGGATGAGATGGGATGAGAGAGCATGAGAGGATGAGATGGGATGAGAGAGCATGAGAGGATGAGATGGGATGAGAGAGCATGAGAGGATGAGATGGGATGAGAGAGCATGAGAGGATGAGATGGGATGAGAGAGCATGAGAGGATGAGATGGGATGAGAGAGCATGAGAGGATGAGATGGATGAGAGAGCATGAGAGGATGAGATGGGATGAGAGAGCATGAGAGGATGAGATGGGATGAGAGAGCATGAGAGGATGAGATGGGATGAGAGAGCATGAGAGGATGAGATGGGATGAGAGAGCATGAGAGGATGAGATGGGATGAGAGAGCATGAGAGGATGAGATGGGATGAGAGAGCATGAGAGGATGAGATGGGATGAGAGAGCATGAGAGGATGAGATGGGATGAGAGAGCATGAGAGGATGAGATGGGATGAGAGAGCATGAGAGGATGAGATGGGATGAGAGAGCATGAGAGGATGAGATGGGATGAGAGAGCATGAGAGGATGAGATGGGATGAGAGAGCATGAGAGGATGAGATGGGATGAGAGAGCATGAGAGGATGAGATGGGATGAGAGAGCATGAGAGGATGAGATGGGATGAGAGAGCATGAGAGGATGAGATGGGATGAGAGAGCATGAGAGGATGAGATGGGATGAGAGAGCATGAGAGGATGAGATGGGATGAGAGAGCATGAGAGGATGAGATGGGATGAGAGAGCATGAGAGGATGAGATGGGATGAGAGAGCATGAGAGGATGAGATGGGATGAGAGAGCATGAGAGGATGAGATGGGATGAGAGAGCATGAGAGGATGAGATGGGATGAGAGAGCATGAGAGGACGAGATGGGATGAGAGAGCATGAGAGGATGAGATGGGATGAGAGAGCATGAGAGGATGAGATGGGATGAGAGAGCATGAGAGGATGAGATGGGATGAGAGAGCATGAGAGGATGAGATGGGATGAGAGAGCATGAGAGGATGAGATGGGATGAGAGAGCATGAGAGGATGAGATGGATGAGAGAGCATGAGAGGATGAGATGGGATGAGAGAGCATGAGAGGATGAGATGGGATGAGAGAGCATGAGAGGATGAGATGGGATGAGAGAGCATGAGAGGATGAGATGGGATGAGAGAGCATGAGAGGATGAGATGGGATGAGAGAGCATGAGAGGATGAGATGGGATGAGAGAGCATGAGAGGATGAGATGGGATGAGAGAGCATGAGAGGATGAGATGGGATGAGAGAGCATGAGAGGATGAGATGGGATGAGAGAGCATGAGAGGATGAGATGGGATGAGAGAGCATGAGAGGATGAGATGGGATGAGAGAGCATGAGAGGATGAGATGGGATGAGAGAGCATGAGAGGATGAGATGGGATGAGAGAGCATGAGAGGATGAGATGGGATGAGAGAGCATGAGAGGATGAGATGGGATGAGAGAGCATGAGAGGATGAGATGGGATGAGAGAGCATGAGAGGATGAGATGGGATGAGAGAGCATGAGAGGATGAGATGGGATGAGAGAGCATGAGAGGATGAGATGGGATGAGAGAGCATGAGAGGATGAGATGGGATGAGAGAGCATGAGAGGATGAGATGGGATGAGAGAGCATGAGAGGATGAGATGGGATGAGAGAGCATGAGAGGATGAGATGGGATGAGAGAGCATGAGAGGATGAGATGGGATGAGAGAGCATGAGAGGATGAGATGGGATGAGAGAGCATGAGAGGATGAGATGGGATGAGAGAGCATGAGAGGATGAGATGGGATGAGAGAGCATGAGAGGATGAGATGGGATGAGAGAGCATGAGAGGATGAGATGGGATGAGAGAGCATGAGAGGATGAGATGGGATGAGAGAGCATGAGAGGGGGTGAGCGTGCAGGAGCTGGCGGTGAACGATTCGGACGTCGTCAAGGCTCTCTTCATGAAGGTGCGATCTGGGGACGGTTTGAGTGATGGGAGAGGGGGTTGAGTCATGGCGTGAAGTGGGAAAGGAGCGTGCAGGTTTGGATGATGGGGGATTGGGTTTGGGTGTGAGATTTGAGGCCTGGCCAAGAAGGGAATTGCGCTTTCTTCCTGTTTTCCCTCGTTGCCTAAAATTAGGGCATTGTTTACGGTCAATCAGATTCTTGACGAGAAAATACGGTGGGCATGGTGTGTGCCGAATACGGGTGGAGGTTCTTGAGTGGCCTTATGTTGATTTATTTGAAACCATCACTCCCCGTTATCATCACATCCCCGTTACAGGGCATTGCGACTACAGTGAATCAGGTTCTTGACAGCGCATGGTGTGTGCCGAGTACGAGGTGGAGGTTCTTGAAAGTCTCTGGTTATGATGATTTATTTCCCGTTCCCAATATTGTTACGCCCCGTTATAATCACATTTTCGTTACAGGGCATCGCGACTACAGTAAACCAGGTTCTTGACGAGGATACAGTGCGCATGGTGTGTGCCGAGTACGGGGTGGAGGTTCTTGATGCCAGTGAGGCAGAGATGGGGGACGCTGCCAGGAAGCAGCGCGAGTATGTGCAGGAGGAGGATCTGGAGCACCTGGTGGTGCGCCCGCCTGTCGTGACTATAATGGGACACGTGGACCATGGCAAGGTGAGACTATAACGAGAAAAATGTATATTAGATAGAGGTGCAAGATTATGTTTGTGCAGGAGGAGGATCTGGAGCACCTGGTGGTGCGCCCGCCTGTCATGGCTATAATGGGCCACGTGGACCATGGCAAGGTGAGACTATAACGAAGGTGAGACTATAACGAAGAACGGTAACCATGGGAGGTGAAACGTATGTAAGTTTATAGAAAGAGAGGCGAGAGGGTCTGGAGCACCTGGTGTGCACCCCCCTGTTGTGACTATAATGGGACATGTGATGTGGACCATGGGATAGGAGCCTACCAACGCACTCTCTGACCCAAACCCACCCTTTGACCCTTCTCCCATGCGCCTCCCACTCTGTTCGTTCCCTCCCCACACCCTCATCAGACCTCCTTCCTCGATTATGTTCGTATGACCAAGGTGGCAGCAGGGGAGGCAGGCGGGATCACCCAGGGAATCGGGGCCTCCCGTGTGTGGCTTCACAATCTCTGGCCCTTCTCTTCTCCCTTGCTCCTCCCACTCCCTTTCCACTCTCCCCTCTCACTCCCTCGCAACAGACCTCGCTCCTCGATTATATTCGTAAGACCAAGGTGGCAGCAGGGGAGGCAGGAGGAATCACCCAGGGAATCGGAGCCTATCGCGTGTGGGTGCCCTACGCTGCTGACTCAGACGCTGACTCAGGCGCTGACTCGGATGCTGACGTGGCGGATGAGGATGAGAACGAGGCGGGGCTGCACACGTGTGTGTTCCTGGACACGCCAGGTCACGAGGCGTTCAGTGCCATGCGGGCGCGGGGGGCGCGGGTGACTGATATTGCCGTGATTGTGGTAGCTGCTGATGACGGTGTTCGGCCGCAGACAACTGAAGCGATTGCTCATGCCCGCGCTGCTGGTGTTCCAATCGTGGTTGCTATCAACAAGGTATGTCTATAACGAGAACTGGGGAGGAAAGGATACCATAGGGGGGCGAGGGTGACGGATATAGCGGTGATTGTGGTGGCAGCAGATGATGGTGTCAGGCCGCAGACCACTGAGGCGATTGCTCATGCCCCCGCTGCTGGTGTTCCCATTGTTGTCGCCATTAACAAGGTATGTTTATGTCTATAATGAGGATGCATATGGAAGGTCGGGGCTGAAGAGAGAGGGGGTGACGGATATAGCGGTGATTGTGGTTGCAGCAGATGATGGGGTCAGGCCTCAGACCACTGAGGCTATCGCTCATGCTCGTGCCGCTGGCGTGCCTATTGTGGTCGCCATTAACAAGGTATGCTTATAACGAGGACATACTCATGAAAGCATGGTGGCAGATGATGGCGTCAGGCCTCAGACCACTGAGTCTATCGTGCACGCCCGCGCTGCAGGTGTTCCTTGTGTAGAAAGTAGATTTTTGAGACGTCTCAAAAATCTACTTTCTACACGCGGTGTTCCTTCCCATTGTCGTCTCCATCAACAAGGTATGCCGAGGTGACTGATATTACCATGATAGAACGAGAGGGGGAAACGTGATTGCTTCCCCCTCGCCTCCCTTCTCGCCCCGCGTGCCGATGGACAAGGAGGGGGCGAATCTCGACAGGGTGTTGCAGGAGCTGGCAGCAGGGGGGCTGATCGGTCTTAGTCACTTTCCCCTCTCTTCTCTCACACACTCTCCTTTCTGTTCTCTCTCACGTGCAGATGGACAAGGAGGGGGCGAACCTCGACAGGGTGATGCAGGAGCTCGCAGCGGGAGGGTCTAACTGCTGCCCTCTCTCTCCCAACTCTCCCTCACTGTATCGCTCCCCTTTCTCCCCTTCCTCTCTCACGTGCAGATGGACAAGGAGGGCGCGAACCTTGATAGGGTGATGCAGGAGCTGGCGGCAGGAGGGTTGATGTCAGAGGAGTGGGGAGGAGACACGCCCATGGTGCCGGTGAGTACTTGTGACTGTGTGTGTGACTGTATCGAGAGATGCAAGAGACAAGCATGCATATGTGATAATACCGAGTGCCATGGCTGATCGGCGAAGGATCTGGCAGCCGGAGGGAGGGCTGATGTCGGAGGAGTGGGGAGGAGACACGCCCATGGTGGTGAGTGCTTGTGACTGTGTGTGTGACTGTAACGAAATGCACAGAGAGAGTGATAACAACGAGAGCAGGGTGCAGGAGCTCGCAGCAGGAGGGCTGATGTCGGAGGAATGGGGAGGAGACACGCCCATGGTGCCGGTGAGTACTTGTGACTGTGTGTGTGACTGTAACGAAATGCACACGGAGAGTGTATAAAACGAGTGGTGGGTGGAGGTCGTGTGGTGGATGGGGGAAGGAGCTGGCAGCAGAAGGCAGGAAAGGCTGATGTCTGGTGTTGGGGGGGGGAAGAAGGAGGAGGGGGAGCGGGGAGAGAAGACGCCCATGGTGCAGATGAGTGCAGATGAGTGCAGATGAGTTCAGATGAGTGCAGATGAGTGCAGATGAGTTCAGATGAGTTCAGATGAGTGCAGATGAGTGCAGATGAGTGCACTGACTTCTGTTGAGACGTCTCAAAAGTCAGTGACTTCTGAGAAGATTCTGAAGTTAATAAAGTATTCAGACACGCCCACCCACGGTGTCAGTGAGGTGTCTAATGAAGGATGAAGGATCAAGGGTTGAAGTCGCAGATTGTGAATGTTTTTGGGTGACTAGCGAGCTTTTCAACTCAACTCTGCAGGACACCTCCTTTCTCTCGTTTTGTTTTTATCCTTGGTCTTCCCATCACTGCAGGTCAGCACAAAGACAGGCCAAGGAGTGGACAGCCTGCTCGAGACGATCATGTAATTCCTGCCTGTTCCATGACACACCCCCACTCATTCATTCTTTCCCACCCCTCCCAATCGTCTTTTTATTCCTGCAGGTCACCTCAAAGACAGGCCAAGGGGTGGACAGGCTGCTTGAAACAGACATGCCCACTCCCTCTCAATCACACACACCCACTCATTTTCCCACCCACTCTCCCTGTAACTCCCTCCCAACTCTCTTTTTATAACTGCAGGTCAGCGCAAAGTCGGGCCAAGGAGTGGACAGCCTGCTCGAGACGATCATGCTTGTGGCTGAGGTGAGAGAGAGAGGGATTGAGGGAGAGGGGTGGCTCCAGTTGGGGGTGTTGGAAGGAAGAGGGGTGTTAAGAGACATAAGGCAGGCAAGGGAGTGGACAGCCTTCTCGAGACAATCATGCTCGCGGCCGAGGTAAGAGGGAGGGCGGTTGGAGGGGGAAGTGTTTGAAAGGGAAGGGAGTGTTGAGACCTCTCAAACGCAAAGACAGGCCAAGGAGTGGACAGCCTTCTCGAAACAATCATGCTCGTGGCCGAGGTAAGGAGAAAAGTTTTTTTTCTTCTTCTTCTTTTGAAAGGACAAGGAGGAGTGTTAGACTCTTCTTTTTCACCTCTTTGCTTCCCTCCCTTGCATCCTTACTCCCTTATAAATTCAAGAGCTCTGTCCCCCTTCCCTTGCTCCCTCGCCTCCGTACAAACTCAAGAGGGTGGTGATAGTGGTAGTAGGCATGTGGGGCAGGCACTCTGGTGCCCGCTCTCTTCTGTGATGGGGGTAGGCGCTCTGGTGCCCGCTCTGTTCTGTGATGGGGGCAGGCACTCTGGTCTGGTGCCCGCTCTGTTCTGTGATGGGGGCAGGCACTCTGGTCTGGTGCCCGCTCTGTTCTGTGATGGGGGTAGGCACTCTGGTGCCCGCTCTGTACTTTTTTTTTAGTCAACTCAAAAACAGGCATGTGGGGCAGGCACTCTGACTCTTGAGTCGACTCAAAAGTCACCTCGGTACCCGCTCTGTACTTTTTTTTAGTCGACTCAAAAACAGGCATGCGGGGCAGGCACTCTGGTGCCCGCTCTCTTCTGTGATGGGGGAAGTCGTAGTGGTAACTTTTGTTCTTTTGATTGGGCCGTTTTAGTTTTGAGGCGCCTCAAAACTAGCGGTGATAGTGGTAGTTGGCATGTGGGGCACGCACTCTGGTGCCCGCTCTCTGTTCTGTGATGGGGGTAGGCATGTGGGGCACGCCCTCTGGTAGTAGTAGTGGTAACTATTGTTCTTTCGATTGGGCCGTTTTAATTTAACCCCTCCGCTTGTTGCTTCCTCCCATTCCTGTGTTGCAAATTCAAGAGCTCAGGGCCAACCCAGACACCCAGGCAGCAGGGACAGTGATAGAGGCGAGTCTGGACAACGCTGCTGGTGATGATGACATTCCGATTTCTCCCTCCACCATCCTCCCCTCCCCTCCCTCCCCTCCCTCCCCTCCCTTCCCTCCCTCCCCTCCCTTCCCTCCTTCCATTTCTGCCAGATTCAAGAGCTGAGGGCCAATCCAGACACCCAGGCAGCAGGCACGGTGATAGAGGCGAGCCTGGACACACAGAGGTAGCCGGTGGCGATGCTGCTGGTGGCAATGCTGCTGCTTACACTTGGGCTGTTCTAACCCCTCTGTCCCTTACCCCCCCCCATGCAGATCCAAGAATTACGCGCTAATCCGGACACCCAGGCAGCAGGCACCGTGATAGAGGCGAGCCTCGACAAGCAGAGGGGGGCGGTGGCGATGCTGCTGGTGGGGATGCTGCTGGTGGCGATGCTGCTGCTTCCAGTTGGGCTGTTTTAACCTCTCTGTCCCTTACCCCCCCCCCCACCCCCCACTCATCCCCCCACGCAGATCCAAGAATTACGCGCCAACCCCGACACGCAGGCGGCAGGCACGGTGATAGAGGCGAGCCTCGACAAGCAGAGGGGCCCGGTGGCAACGCTGCTGGTGCAGAACGGCACGCTCAGGCTGGGAGACGTGGTGCTGTGTGGACAGACGTATGGGAAGGTATGACTGACAGGAGGGAAAGGGGGGGGGATATGACCAGTGGCTAGCCGACAAGCACAGAGACCGGTGGCAACGCTGCTGGTGCAGAATGGCACTCTCGGGCTGGGAGACGTTTTTGAGACGTCTCAAAAACAACCTCGCTACACACTGCTGGGGCAGAATGGCACTCTCGGGCTGGGAGACGTCGTGCTGTGTGGACAGACGTATGGCAAGGTGAGGCTGGGTTGGGATGGGAGTAAGGGAGGCGTAGTGACGAGGAAGAGGGGGACGGGTAATGGGGGAACATGGGCAGTCGCAGCGACTCCGCTGGGCCCTTCCCTTGCTGTCACTGCTGCGGTCCTCACCTCTATCCACCCCTCACCTCTACCTCACTCCCCTGCACTCCCCTCCACTCCCCTGCACTCCCCCCTTCTTCATCTTCTCAGATCCGAGCTCTAGTAGACGACACGGGCAGTCGCAGCGACTCCGCTGGGCCTTCCCTTGCTGTGGAGGTAAGCCTTGCGGTGAAGTGCAAGTCTGGGGGGATTGTGGGGACTTCCAAGTGAAACACATGTCGCTCCCATGTGAATTCGGGACACTTGAATGCTGTTTGTTAGCTCAGGCAGTCGCAGCGACTCCGCCGGGCCTTCCCTTGCTGTGGAGGTAAGGCGATGCGTCTGGAATCGATTTCTCATAATTGCTCATAACTGTGTATATCTATAGAGTTACATTCGCCTGCTCAGTGCCAATAGCAGCAGACCACTTTGAAGTGGTTGACTCGCTTGACCAGGCCCACCCATGCATCCTGCTCCCCCTGCCCCTGCCCCTCGTTCCCACTATGTGTCCCTCCCTTTCCCTCTCCTTCTATGCCTGTACCTCAGGTTCTCGGCTTGAGCTCAGTGCCAGTGGCAGGGGACCACTTTGAAGTGGTTGACTCGCTTGACCAGGCTTTTTCCTCATGTATATATGTCTGAATATCTTTATCCATTTGTCTCTCTTCCCATGTCTCAGGTTCTCGGCCTGAGCTCAGTGCCAGTGGCAGGGGACCACTTTGAAGTGGTTGACTCGCTTGACCGAGCCCTTTGCTTTAGTCCTCGTGTCCACATACATCTATGTTCCTTTCTCCCTTCCTGCACCACAACAGGTGCTCGGCCTGAGCTCAGTGCCAGTGGCAGGCGACCACTTTGAAGTGGTTGACTCGCTTGACCGAGCCCTTTGCTTTAGTCCTCATGTGCACACACATCTATTTTCCTTTCTCCCTTCCTACACCACAACAGGTCCTGGGTCTCAGCTCGGTGCCAGTGGCAGGGGACCACTTTGAAGTGGTTGACTCGCTTGACCAGGCCCGCTCCCTGGCCGAGGAAGCTGCTGGGAAGCTGCGCACCGCCAGGCTGGCGGCCCTGCAGGGCGAGTCGAAGGTGTCTCTGTCTGCCCTGGCGGGTCGGGGGGCGTCTGGAGGGGATTCAGGGGAGAGCGATGAGGAGGGGCTGGAGTTCCACCAGCTGAACGTGATTCTCAAAGTGGATAACCAGGTGGGTGTTAGTGTGGTATGTGGGCATGCATGGGAACGGGGGCAAGGAGCAGGGCCACCAGCGATTGGGGGTAGGGGAGGCAGCGATGAGGATGGGCTGGAGTTCCACCAGCTGAATGTGATCCTGAAGGTCGACAACCAGGTGGGTCTTGGTGTTAGGGTGAAGCAGGAAAGGGGCATGTGCAATCAGGCAGCAACCAGGCTGGCGGCCCTGCAGGGCGAGTCGAAGGTGTCTCTGTCTGCGCTGGCAGGGCGGGGGGCATCAGGAGGAGGGGTGGGCAGTGATGGCGAGGGCGATGAGGATGGGCTGGAGTTCCACCAGCTGAACGTGATCCTGAAGGTCGATAACCAGGTGGGTGCATGATGGCAGTTGAGGGCTTGGGCGCTGTCTGCTCTCTGCCCTGGCGGGTCGAGGGGCGTCTGGAGGGGAGTCAGGGGAGGCAGCGATGAGGAGGGGCTGGAGTTCCACCAGCTGAACGTGATTCTCAAAGTGGATAACCAGGTGGGTTTTAGAGTCTGATTTTACAGGGTGAGTCAGGGCAGGGCAGGGCAGGGCAGGGCAGGGCAGGGCAGGGCGAGTGGAAGGTGTTGTGGTGTTCATGCTGGGGAAGGTGTTGTGGTGTTCATGCTGGGGAAGGTGTTGTGGTGTTCATGCTGGGGAAGGTGTTGTGGTGTTCATGCTGGGGAAAGTGTTGTGGTGTTCATGCTGGGGAAGGCGTTGTGGTGTTCATGCTGGGGAAGGCGTTGTGGTGTTCATGCTGGGGAAGGTGTTGTGGTGTTCATGCTGGAGAAGGTGTTGTGGTGTTCATGCTGGGGAAGGCGTTGTGGTGTTCATGCTGGGGAAGGCGTTGTGGTGTTCATGCTGGGGAAGGCGTTGTGGTGTTCATGCTGGGGAAGGCGTTGTGGTGTTCATGCTGGGGAAGGCGTTGTGGTGTTCATGCTGGGGAAGGCGTTGTGGTGTTCATGCTGGGGAAGGCGTTGTGGAGGCGATCAGAGAGGCGCTGGCAGCGCTGCCCCAAGACACGGTGTCTCTGCCTTGCATCCTCCTCACTCCCTTCCACCGCTTTGTACCCCTCTCTTTCTCATCTCGCAGGGTTCTGTGGAGGCGATCAGAGAGGCTCTGGCAGTACTGCCGCAAGACACAGTCTGCCTTTGCATCCGCCTCACTCCTCTCCACCGTTTCATACCCCTCCCTCTCCCTCTCATCTCTCGCAGAGTGCTGTGGAGGTGATGAGAGAGGCGCTGGCAGCGCTGCCCCAAGGCACGGTCCTGCCTCCGCCTAATCCTCACTCCTCTCAACCGTTTCGTACCCCTCCCTCTCCCTCTCATCTCTCGCAGAGTGCTGTGGAGGCGATCAGAGAGGCGCTGGCAGCGCTGCCCCAACCCAAGGCACGGTCCTGCCTCCGCCTAATCCTCACTCCTCTCAACCGTTTTGTACCTCTCTCTCTCCCTCTCATCTCTCGCAGGGTGCTGTGGAGGCGATCAGAGAGGCGCTGGCAGCGCTGCCCCAAGACACCGTGTCGCTGCGCTTCCTGCTGCAGGTGAGATTCGCTATGAGGTGTGATTCATTGTAATGTGAGATTCGTTATAAGGTGACATTCAGCACAAGAGAGGCAAAGTGTAGCTATAGCAATGGTTGCCCCAAACCACAGTGTCGTTCGTGCTGCACGTGAGATTCGCTATAAGGTGAGTGAGATTCACTATAAGGTGAGACTCGCTATAAGGTGGGATTCGCTTTAAGGTGAAATTAGGTGAGAATCATTAATGGTAGGATTCCCCACTTCCCTCCTCCCTCCCCTCTCCCCTCTCCCCTGCCCCTTCCCCTCCTACCTTCCCTCTCCCCCTTTCCCTTCCCCTCTCTCTCCCCCCATCGCTCCTCCCCCAGGCTGCTGGTGACGTGGCACTGAGCGACATTGACCTGGCGATCGCCAGCGAGGCTGTCGTGCTGGCGTTCAACGTGAGCATGCCACCCGCCGTGGAGGCAGCAGCAGAGGAGAAGGGCGTGGAAGTGCGCACATATCGGGTGATCTACGACCTGATTGACGACGTTCGCAAGGCCATGGAGGGGCTGCTTGATTCTGTGGAGGTGAGAAGGACGTGGAAGTGCGGACGTACCGGATCATCTTTGACCTGATTGACGATGTCAGGAAGGCCATGGAGGGGCTTCTTGACTCCGTGGAGGTGAGAGAGTGGCTTCCCTGTGGTGCTGAGTGGTGTTGAGTGGTTCTGAGTGGTGCTCTGGTCGCTGTGCCACCAGCTGTGGAGGCAGCAGCAGAGGAGAAGGGCGTGGATGTGCGCACATATCGGGTGATCTACGACCTGATTGACACGTCAGGAAGGCCATGGAGGGGCTGCTTGACAGTGTTGAGGTGAGAAGAGAGAGGGAGTGGTGCTGAGCGGTGCTGTGTGGTGAGGATGTATCGGGTCATTTATGATCTGATTGACGACGTCAGGAAGGCAATGGAGGGGCTTCTTGACTCCGTGGAGGTGAGATTGTGGGTCTCCTGTGGTGCTGACTGGTGCTGAGTGGTGCTCTGGTCGCCATGCGACCAGCTGTGGAGGCAGCAGCAGAGGAGAAGGGTGTGGAAGTGAGGACGTACCGGGTCATCTATGATTTAATCGACGATGCCAGGAAGGCAATGGAAGGGCTGCTTGACTCCGTGGAGGTGTGTTCCCTCGAGTGGTAGTGAGCGGTGCTTTAGTTGTCATGCTGGCTGGTGTGGAAGGTGAGGACGTACCAAGTCATCTATGATTTGATTGACGATGCCAGGAAGGCCATGGAGGGGCTGCTTGACTCCGTGGAGGTACATTCCCTTCCCTGTGCTGAGTGGTTCTGAATGATGCTCAGTGGTGCTCAGTGGTGCTCAGTGGTGCTGAGAGGTTCTGAGAGGTGCTCTGCTCCTGCCGGCATTCAACGTGGGCATGCCACCCGCTGTGGAGGCAGCAGCAGAGGAGAAGGACGTGGGTGGAGAGAGGGGGCACAATAGAAGCTTATGAAAGGGGTGTGGGTGGGGTGGGGTGGGGTGGGGTGGGCCTGGAGTAACCTCTAAAGGCCTCTTGTCTCACACTCTTAGTTCTTCCTTCCCTTCCCTTCTCCCCGTCTCCTCCCTCCCGCTCTCAAATCCAGGAGCGCACGCCTCTAGGCTCAGCAGAGGTTCGGGCGGTGTTTGGAGCGGGGAGCAGCAAGGTGGCTGGAGTGATGGTGACTGAAGGGAAGCTCGTAAAAGGGTGTGGAGTGGCGGTGATTCGGGGGAAGAAAGAGGTGTACTCGGGTACACTCACGTCGCTCCGACGAGTCAAGGAGCTCGCGAAGGAGGTACGCTTATAATGAGTACAAAGCCTGTTGTTGTTGTGAGAGTACAAAGCTAACTTCGATCGAATGGAAGTGGTGAGGACTGTCGGTGATTAGAAAAAAAAAAGGAGGTTACTAAAGCTGTGGCTGAAAGAAACGGGGGCCAGTCCTGGGGAATGCCCCGCAGCTCTGGGTATTCTGGCAGAGGGGGGAACGCCCCTTTCTGGCAGGGGGTTTTAGTGCGAGGCGGCTCAAATCATCCTTTTCACCCCATCCCTGTTTCCCCATTTAGAAACAGGTGGTGGCGGGGCTGGACTGTGGTGTGGGCCTGGAGGGCTTTGACGAGTGGCAGCAGGGCGACAGCATCGAAGCTTACCTTCCCTTCATCCCCACTCCCCATTCTCCCCGTTATCCCCATTCTCCCCATTACGAAACAGGTGGTAGCGGGGCTGGAGTGCGGGGTGGGCCTGGAGGGCTTTGACGAGTGGCAGCAGGGCGACAGCATCGAGGCGTTTGAGGTGGTGCAAAAGGCGAGGTCCCTTGAAGATGCTTCCAAGGAGGTTACCAAAGCTGTTGCTGACAAAACCGAGTCTATGGGAATCACAGTCAACGCGTAATTTGGGGGAGGAGAAGTGGGTGAGGGGAAAGAGGGAAGGTGAGGGGAGAGTGGTGCAAAAGGCGAGGTCCCTCGAAGATGCATCCAAGTAAGCTACCAAAGCCGAGTTCATGAGGATTGCAGTCAACGCAGCATAGTAATATTGTGGATGGGAGGGAGGAATGGGGTGGGGGATACGGGGTAGGGTTATGAGAGGGCTGGTGGGTGTGTGGAGGTGCCTTGAATAAGATGCGGGTGTTGTGTGTCTACATTGGGATCTCCAATTGGTGTCGTGCAGATTGTGCCTTCTGCCTTGTTTGTATGTGTGCAAGTACACCTTATATGTGATGGGAACCTTGTTATTATTATGGAAAATTCACCTTGATGTTGCTGCACTAGTTTCTAGTTTCAGGAAAACATCCTTAGTACTACTAGTACTGGAAACTCCGACTAATCAGTACGCGTCAACCCACTAGATACAGTGCGGTGGAAACATTTGCCATTTAGGTGTAATGCGGTGCAGAGTGGTACAATCCTTTGTGATGCGTACTTAAGGGACATGTCCACAGCGGAATGTACCCTCAGTCAAAACTATGTGAGAGAATTGCTCCAGTGCCTTGTTTGGTGATTCGCTTTTGCCCACGTGTCCCCGAATTGCTCGAGTGGCCATCCAATTCAGTGATAATTGCTCGAGTGGCTATGCCAGGGCATTTTCGAGGTGTTTTTTTTTCCCTGGCACATAACCCTACAAGGGTTCGTACCCCCGAAATTCCTCGTTCGCACAACAGTAGATGCTCGGTCATTTTCGGCCCAATGCGCGACCAATGAGCACGTGGGCAATTACATCAGCGATCATAAACTGCAACGCCAGAGCATAAATGCACGAACATATTATTGACCGCGCACGATTGGTCGATAATATGCTTCTTGCCCTTTTTGGCAATGCGCGTCCAATCACGCACGGTCATATGATTCACGACCATATATTTAGGCGATAAAGGGTCGCCCAACAACCAATATGAGCGCGCATATACTACCATTAGTTCTATCATATTTCCGGTCCATATAAAACCATGTATATCAAATGCCATAAATATATTCTCTGCTATTAATTTAAGTTTCAGAGACAGGCAGAGAACCCGGCGGCCGCTTCACCCTAAAAATCCACATGCCATCGACTATGTTCGCCCCAGAAGGGGGAACTGCGTCGACGTAGGTGCCAGTGAACTTCCATGATGCCATCTCTGCGTCCATCACTGTCTGCCACTGAGAGGAGTAGGGACCCGTAATCGGCTCTGCGTAAGAGCGCGGGGTTGGGATGTCTGGTGCATCCGGGTCTCCCTCAGGTGCAAGCAGCATGGCCACGAGATGAGGTACAGCAGCTGCAAGACACTCAAAGTCCTCCTGCCTGTCCTCAAGGACGTCCGTGCCAAGAGCACACTCACCCCCGACGGACGGAGGACAGTCAGACTCAGACTCAGCAACAAGACTAGTGGCGTAGTCGAGACGACAGGCGGCAGCAAAGTCGACAAGCTCAGCAACTAGGGCAGACGCAGCAGTGGACTCAAACGAGGGGTCAGTGACAACAGTGGCTAGAAGACGAGGGACAGTAGGATTGCCAGCATGAGCTAAGTCAGACTCAGGGTCAGGAACGGCAAGAAGAGAGGACGCAAGAGGAGACGGCAGGGGAACTCGCTGTGGAACAGAGGAAGGACAAAGCGTCATAACGTGAGTGCCGAGGACAGGAGGAGGACGCGGACGAGGAACCCGACGACCAGTGTGAGCAGCGCGGACAGGCGAGGCAAGACAAGACTCAGGCTCACGACGCTCAGTAAACGATTTTGTTTGCTCAGCGTAAGGAGAAGGGGCAGGCAGTGGGGAGTCTGGCTGTAACTGTGGCTGCGACTGGCGAGGTGGTGGACTCAGTAAGCTAGGAGGAAGGCCAGTAGAAGACGGGAGACTAAGAACCTGGCGAAGGACCGAGTCAGGTGGCGGCAGAGACGACGGTGGCGGCGGAACGGAAAACGGGCGCCGCTCCACAGTGCCTCCAGCACCAGTACCGCCAGACGCAGCACCCCCAGCGCCAGCACCTCCATCTCCAGGGTCAACAGCTCCAGCGCCTCCAGCGTCAGGGTCTCCAGCTCCAGCTCCTCCAGCTCCAGCGCCGCCAGCGCCAGTGCCTCCAGCTCCAGTGCCTCCGGCGCCAGGGTCCCCAGCTCCAGCCCTCCAGCTCCAGCACCGCCAGCGCCAGTGCCTCCAGCTCCAGTGCCTCTAGCTCCAGTGCCTCCAGCTCCAGCGCCTCCAGCGCCGAGGTCTCCAGCTCCAGCTCCTCCAACACCACCAGCCCCAACAGCTCTAGTACCCCGAGTACGAGCACCTCCAGGACTAGCAGCTCCAGCACCTCCGGTACCTCTGGACAGGGCATTTAACAACCCTATCCAGCTGCCCGGTAGCAAAGGCAACGTCCGGTCGGGTGTTTACCGCCGCGTACATGAGGCTGCCCACCAATGAGTGAAAATGGCACCTCTCCTCTTCGCCAACACTCTCCTCCTCTGGTCCCTTCATACACTTCAACCCAGAAGGGAATGGAGTAGCCACATGGCCTTCAATCTGCCCAAAGTTGGCAGCCAAGGCCTCCAGGTACTTCCGTTGGTGCACACGCATACACCGTTTCTCCACATCTCGTTCATTGTGGAGCCCGAGGTAGAAGCTCACGTCACCAAGGGCCTTGCACTTGAACTTGTCTTGAAGCTTCAGCATCACCTCCTTCACAAGGTCAGAGGAGGGTGAGAAAATGAGGATGTCATCCACATAAACCACCATGAAACTCCTCTGCTCCCCCTCGCCAAGCATGAACAAGGAATGATCGGCGGATGAGGGAGTGAACCCGATCTCCTCCAAGACTTCACGCAGCTTCAAGTACCACTGCCTAGGGGCTTGCTTGAGCCCATAGAGCGCCTTCTTCAGCTTCCACACTCTGCCACTACCATCATCAAACCCCTCTGGCTGCGCCATCAAAATCTCTTCCTCAAGGACGCCGTTGAGGAATGCCGTTGTCACATCCGGTGCTGGAGCTGCTAGTCCTGGAGGTGCTCGTACTCGGGGTACTAGAGCTGCTGAGGTTGGTGGTGTTGGAGGAGCTGGAGCTGGAGACCTTGGCGCTGGAGGCGCTGGAGCTGGAGGCACTGGAGCTAGAGGCACTGGAGCTGGAGGCACTGGCGCTGGCGGTGCTGGAGCTGGAGGGCTGGAGCTGGGGACCCTGGCGCCGGAGGCACTGGAGCTGGAGGCACTGGCGCTGGCGGCGTTGGAGCTGGAGGAGCTGGAGCTGGAGACCCTGACGCTGGAGGCGCTGGAGCTGTTGACCCTGGAGATGGAGGTGCTGGCGCTGGGGGTGCTGCGTCTGGCGGTACTGGTGCTGGAGGCACTGTGGAGCGGCGCCCGTTTTCCGTTCCGCCGCCACCGTAGTCTCTGCCGCCACCTGACTCGGTCCTTCGCCAGGTTCTTAGTCTCCCGTCTTCTACTGGCCTTCCTCCTAGCTTACTGAGTCCACCACCTCGCCAGTCGCAGCCACAGTTACAGCCAGACTCCCCACTGCCTGCCCCTTCTCCTTACGCTGAGCAAACAAAATCGTTTACTGAGCGTCGTGAGCCTGAGTCTTGTCTTGCCTCGCCTGTCCGCGCTGCTCACACTGGTCGTCGGGTTCCTCGTCCGCGTCCTCCTCCTGTCCTCGGCACTCACGTTATGGCACTTTGTCCTTCCTCTGTTCCACAGCGAGTTCCCCTGCCGTCTCCTCTTGCGTCCTCTCTTCTTGCCGTTCCTGACCCTGAGTCTAACTTAGCTCATGCTGGCAATCCTACTGTCCCTCGTCTTCTAGCCACTGTTGTCACTGACCCCTCGTTTGAGTCCACTGCTGCGTCTGCCCTAGTTGCTGAGCTTGTCGACTTTGCTGCCGCCTGTCGTCTCGACTACGCCACTAGTCTTGTTGCTGAGTCTGAGTCTGACTGTCCTCCGTCCGTCGGGGGTGAGTGTGCTCTTGGCACGGACGTCCTTGAGGACAGGCAGGAGGACTTTGAGTGTCTTGCAGCTGCTGTACCTCATCTCGTGGCCATGCTGCTTGCACCTGAGGGAGACCCGGATGCACCAGACATCCCAACCCCGCGCTCTTACGCAGAGCCGATTACGGGTCCCTACTCCTCTCAGTGGCAGACAGTGATGGACGCAGAGATGGCATCCTGGAAGTTCACTGGCACCTACGTCGACGCAGTTCCCCCTTCTGGGGCGAACATAGTCGATGGCATGTGGATTTTTAGGGTGAAGCGGCCGCCGGGTTCTCTGCCTGTCTTCAAGGCTCGTTACGTTGCACGAGGCTTTAGTCAGCGACAGGGAGTTGACTTCTTCCAGACCTTCTCCCCTACCCCGAAGATGACCACTCTTCGGGTGTTGTTGCACGTTGCAGCTCAGCGTGACTACGAGCTGCAGTCTCTTGACTTCGGCACAGCTTTCTTGCAGGGCAGCCTGCACGAGGAGATCTGGCTGCGCCGCCCACCTGGCTTCACTGGGTCATTTCCTGCAGGTACCCAGTGGAGCCTCCGGCGGCCAGTCTTCGGTCTCCGTCAGGCGCTTCGCGAGTGGCACGACACACTGAGGACGTCTCTTGCGGCTCTTGGGTTTGCTCCTTCGACTACTGACCCGTCGCAGTTTCTACGCACCGACACTTAGTTGCCGCCGTTCTATGTTTTCGTGTACGTCGACGACTTGGTCTTTGCCACTGCTGACACTGAGGCACTGGCCCTTGTGAAGTCGGAGCTGCAGAAGAGACACACCTGCACTGACCTGGGTGAACTGACAAGCTTTCTTGGCTTGCAGATCACCCGGGACAGAGCACGGCGCACCATCACCCTGACTCAGTCACACATGGTGCACCAGGTCCTTCAGCGCTTCGGCTTCCGGTACTCCTTGCCACAGTCCACTCCTCTGCCTACCGGTCAATCACTCTCAGCTCCACCTTCGGACGAGTCCGCA